AATTCACGTTTTTTTTTGAAAAGACTTTTCATGACAAAAACAAAACCAAAAGACTTAAAAGACATATTCATGACGATTCAGGTTAAAGTTTTGGCGATGTTGTCGAGGAACTCGGCCATATATTCTTTGCTGTAGTTCTCGCAGAGTTGCTCCTGCTCGTCGATGGTCACCCTCAGGCGCTTATTTGGCTTGGCGGAGGATTCGATATAATCGCGCAATTTCTGATTTTCCTCGAACTTCACCACGAAACATGCAAAACACAGCATTTTAATAGCAATAGCTTCCCATAGAATTTTTCCCATTTGGGACCTTTTTCGAATAGGTGATTTTTCGAACCGATGATTTTCGAACAGATGACTTTTCGAACAGATGACTTTTCGAACAGATGATTTTCGAACAGATGATTTTCGAACGGATGATTTTCGAACAGATGATCGGCCACCATTCAAACCATTCTCAATAGGCTGAATTTTAGTTTCAGGCAACGGCCAAGATAACCCTTTTTTGCTGGCTCCGATTTAGCATAAATTTGCATTCAGCTGCACCCGGGACACGCAACGCACACGCCGATTGACCATATTGAGTTATTGTTCTAACCAGCGCCCAAAACCCGCTTCGCGGGCCTTGGGCGCTGGAATGCGCCTTGCATGAAAAATTTGACTTTCCGATAGCTTCGGACCCCTTCCCCCCACCGGCCACACCTGCGCGTGCAAATTGCAAGAATGAGGAGATTTGTATTTTTCCGCATTATGCAAATTAGTCCTCAGGGACCCCCAAAAATGAATAAAAGCGGCTTTAACTTTGTAAACTTGTATTTTATCAAAATTCTGGAAAACGCCATCGGAAAGAGAAGGGTCGATTCCTCCGGGTGACGGAGAATTGGGGCATTTTATGCACGGAAGGCCCTCAAATCAGGCCTCGAAAGTGACATCCACACACACACACACACACATACGCGACCAAATTATATAAGGTAGGATTCTTATCCTATCCTATAAGCGAGAAAAAGTATGTTTGTTTTCTGTGCAGCCGATTTCTCGGCCGTCAGGCCGAATTCCTCTTCTGGATTTTTGGCATGGAGGTGGAGAAACACATCCTCTTTATAAGCATTTTTGGTTTTTCGAAATTCCTTCATTTAACGATTTTACAAGCGGAAATAGTGAAAAACCCTTAACATTTTGGTCAAAAAAGGTTTGTACAGAGGATATCTCGCGATCTAAATGGAATTGGGCGCTAATTTTTGGAGGGTAGATTGAGAATTGAATTCTCCCGATATATAATTCTGCGTTTTGTCAGATTTTGTAAAATGAAGTTTTTATGAACATTTTTATAAAAAGTCCTTAATAAAGTGGGCCAAGAGCCGTGGTGTCCGGGCGATATCTCAGAGCCCAGATGGAATTTCGGTCTGTAATTTGGAACACTATGTATCCGATAGTGGGGATCACGCGCATCTTATTATCTTTGTAAATTTTCAGCTGATTCGTACTCGAAAACCGAATTTTGTAAAGTGACCAGTAGGCCTCCCCTCCGGGGATCATTGGGTTGCCCTTTTCTTTGCCTTCCCCGCCCCCTTTCCCCAGGACAGATGAGAGCTTTCCCGCCGCCTGTTCGTATCTGTTGGATGGTGTAGTGGCTTTGCGCCCGGTCTATCATGCGCATGGTCGTGAGTTCGGATCCTGCGGGAAATTTAATTTTTTGCTTTTTGGTAGTTCAGTAACAAAACATATTTCTAGCTCTGGGCGCGCGAGATTTAGGCCTGGCTCTGGCTCTAGCGCCGCAGGATAAAGAAAAGGTCCTTGGTCCAGGCTCTTGCGCCGCAGGCCAAGGATGGGTTTTGAGCTGGCTCTTGCGCCGCAGGCATGATCTGGGAGAAAAACCGGTAACTAGCACTGCGGGTAAAAGATTCTAGCGCGTTTGGCCTGGATCTCGCTTTAGCGCCGCAGGAATGAAAAGGTGCTTAGCCTAGGCCCTCGCGCCGCGGCCAAATCCTCGAGAAAAACCAGTAACTAGCGCTGCGGGCAAAAGATTCTAGCGCGAGGTTTAGGCCTGGCTCTCGCTTTAGCGCCGCGTAGGTCACGAAAAGGTCCTTGGACCAGGCTCACAGCGCCACAGACAAAGCATGGCTCCTTGACTCACATTCTTGCGCTGCAGGCTAAAAAAAGAAGGTATTCGAATTCATCGTTCCTGGACGGGGTCCAGTGGAAAAGGGCCGCGAAGCGGGCTTCCACTGGTTCAATTAAGCCATAAACTGTGCAGCTCAGCTGTCGCGTGTCGAAGCGGCAACTGACCCAAGGAATCCGTAGCAAGAAATCCATGTCTTATTTAAAGAGCCATGCAAGGCGAAACGTTTCGCTTGCCCGTGTTGACCCCCTCACTTCCAGACATCCTATTTTGCACTTGCCGACCTTTCTCACGACATTGTCGGCAACAAGGGGGAAACCGGTCGTCATTAGGTGTGTCTGTTGTTTGCGTCAAAAGGACAGTTCGGAAATTTGTCGGGTATATAGTAGTGGCGTGGAGCAGAGATGGGGAGTATGGTTTTGGATCAACTGATACTGGGGTTTCGAGGGTAGGAGTTTTCACGCTTGCTCTCTCTGACTCTCTCTCTCTCTCTCTCTCTCTCTCTCTCTCTCTCTCTCTCGCTCTCTTTCTGTCGCTATCTCGCTTTTTTAGAACTTTAAAGTAACTAAGGCTTAGGCTCGGGCTTGGGATCAGGCTTAGGCTTAGCTTCCCGCGTAGGCATAGGTTTAAGCTTAGGCTTAGGTTTAGGCTTAGGCTTATGTATAATCCATCAAAAACTACACGCTGCACTTGGTGATCAGTTTTCCCCTAATTTCTCTCTGTTTTGTTTGCCCATCACGCGGGTTGTCACCCGCGCGCGCGGCAGCCATATTTTTTCGCACGCCAGTTCATTCCGCGCCGCGTTCCAGATTCATTGCCGATCGGCCTGAAGGGGTTTTTGATCCGAGGACTGTTAAACTGATAAATTTCCTATTATGCTTTTAATTAAAATTTAGTTCGATCTATGCAAACTAACTCCATTTTTTTAGGAAATGAGGATACCGCTACTATTGCTGAGTATATTTGGCGTCAGCTGCGCATACTTGGACCCATCCGTAAGGGAATCCCCAGCATTAAGGTATATTTTTTGATAATTCCAGTTCCGCGGGTCTTCCTACGAGCTCATTCGACACCTGGTGAACGGTCCGATGCGAGGACAGGCTAAGAGGTGGATGGAAGAGATTTGTGATGATTTCGGGCCCAGGCTGGCCGGGACACAGGCGTTAGAGAGGTAAACGAATTGACAATTGCCTATTCCTGAATAATCTCTGCTAGCTCGCCATTTCCGAAGGAGACCTTGCTAGCTTACGTTTTCCGAGAGCATCTCTGATAGCTGGCCTTTTCCTAAAAGATCGCTGCTAGCTCATCATTCCATATCGCATCTCTGCTCGCCTACCTTTAATTTTTAGCTCCATTGACGCCATCACCCAAAAGCTACGCCTCGATGGCTTCCAGAACGTCCACACTGAGCCGGTGCCCGGAATCCCGCATTTTGTGAGAGGAGAAGATCGGGTTACTGTAACTGGTGAGTTTCGAGGAGAGAGAAAAAGGGAAAGATAGAGAGAGCGAGGGAGAGAGAGAGAGAGAGAGAGAGATAGAGAGAGAGAGAAATAACAATCAAACATCATCGGTTCTTTAGCCCCGCGACGAATGGATCTGAACATCCTGGCGATCCCTGGAAGTAAGCCGGGCCGAGTTCGAGCTGAAGCTGTTGTGCTGGAGGACAGAAATGATATTAAGGTGAGTTACGGCAGTTTTGCTCCTCGCTCTGACTCTCTCTCACTCTCTCTCTCTCTCTCTATTTTATCGCATATTTTAGCCCCACCGTGTAGCCGGCAAAATCGTGGTGATAGTAATGCCCTGGAAAGGTTACACCTGGACCGTTCAGCACCGACAGCTTGGAGAAGAGGCAAGCGCTAAAATAGCGAAAATTATTTATTATATATTTGACATATTTTACTCATAAACTTTCTTGGTTCAGGCAGCGAGATACGGCGCCGTTGGACTTCTTGTAAAATCCGTAGCCCCATCAAGCATGGGTAGCCCGCATACCGGATGGGGAGGTAAGTGAATTCTAGTTAATCTAGTTTAAGTGTGAGCCTGAGCATGAGCCTGAGCCTAAGCGGAGCCTGACAAGGAGTCGTTTCTGGGTGATATTGGAGTTTTTGAACGAGACCTAGCTAGTTCGATAGAGAAAAAAATTCTGAACAAGATGTCGGTTTCCAAATCTGCTAACCGTGTATTGTATTCAATAAAAATTAATCTTAATGAAAAAATTCCTGGACGTCAGGCTGCGACCCATGGATCAGGCCCGGGACATAGCCCAGAGCGCGAACCAGCATCTGCATGAGATCGTGGCCTAGTGGATAGTGCCGGCGCCTATCAAACTTTTGCAAATTTATGCCCAGGGTTTGGAACTTATTGTGATTTATTGTTTTGCTTTTTGGTTTTTCATGCCATTGAAATCGAATTTGGCATTATCGAGCAAAAAGCAAAAGAGTTTTACTAGCGAGGAGTCGAACCCGCTGGCAAAAAAGACAAAAACTGATGAAGCAAGCGCACTACCAATAGGCCAGCTGGTTACGGCTGGAGGGAGGCCTAAAGCGGGCTATGTTGACACGCACCCTGAGCGCAGAATCTGCGGATCAGGCGGAAAATGATGGTTAGATTAATGATTTTCAAATTAATTTTTATTGAACAACGTACACGGTTAGCAGATTTGGAAAACGACATCTTGTTCAGAATTTTTTTTCTCTATCGAACTAGCGAGGTCTCGTTCAAAACCCAATATCACCCAGAAACGACCCCGTGAGCTAAGCTTAGCAAGCCTAAGCAAAGCTCAAGCAAAGGCTCAGCCGAAAATTTAGAAATTGAACTTTATTTTAATTTTTTTAGAAGGTTCGATCCCAGCTGCCTCGCTGACCGTTGAAGAGGCCGAGATGCTAAAACGGTAGGTGGAAATATTTTTAGAAAAGATGCTTGCGCTTTCCTAAGGAATTTCTGTTAGCTTACCCATTCCTCAAAAATCTCTGCTAGCCTACCTCCCCAAGGACCTCTGCTAGCTTGCCAGTTCCGCAAAGAATCTTTGCTTGCTTGCCTCTTCCCTAAGGATCGCTGCTAGATTTCCCGCTCCCAGCCTATGTTTCCTTAAAAATCTCTGCTATGTAGAGTGCGATGTCAAAAGGTTTTCCGTTGTTTTGCGTTAGCCTAAGAATCTCTGCTAGCTTGCCCGTTCCCCACAGCGTTTCTGCTAGCTTGCCTCATCCCTAAGAATCTCCGCTAGTTTGCCTCTTCCCTAAACTTCCGAGTTTTCCAGCTGGTCCCAGCGCGGCAAGCGCATCACCATCGATATGGACATCCGGTCGAGGGTGATGCCCGATAAAGTAATGTCCCGGAATACGGTGTTCGAGATTAAAGGTATAGGCGATTTTCTGGGCTCAAATTTGAATATTTTGAAGGCTCTCACCATCCCCATGAAATCGTGTTGCTGTCAGCTCATTTGGACTCGTGGGATGTTGGACAGGTATGGAAATTTTCAAATAATCTCTGCCGATCAATTTACCTTTCCCTACGAGGATTTGCTAGCTGACTCTTTCCCAAAAATTCCGGCTGATATGCTCTATTTTTTTCAGGGAGCCCTCGATGATGCCGGCGGCTGCGCAGCGGTGCTTTACGCCATGAAAGCAATTAAAGAAATGGCTGACAGGAATCCGAGATACCGCCCGAAACGGTAAGGATCAATCAAAATACTATTAATCGACATTAAACAAAATAATTTTTGGCAGAATTTTACCCTACATTTTCAGGACGATCCGCGGAATTTTCTGGACAGCCGAGGAGCAGGGATTCATCGGGGCTCATCAATATTATGCGGATCACGGGGATGGACAACGAGGAGAAAAGGTAATACCTTAGAAGTACCTTAAAAAGACAAGAACCTAACCTAAATTACTTGGCGATTACCTACATGATAGCGGCAGAAAGAGCTGCTTCTTGCGTGCTTCTCACGATCTCTCTCGCTCTCTCTCTCTTTAAAAATCGATTAAGCGTCCGTTCGAGTCAAATAACCATCTTTTTCAGTTCGTGTTCGTCTCCGAGTCGGACAACGGTGCCTTCAAGCCGACAAACTCCACGTCGAATCTGGCATTCAAGGGAAATCGAGAACAGGTGAGAACGTAGGAAATATCCCTTGGGAAAGGGCGGGCTAGCAGAGATTATTGGGGAAGGAAGGTTGACGTTACTCATGTTCCTGATTTTCAGATGGACATCATGCACGAAATCGTGGCCATCATCAATGCCTACGGGATCCCGTTGAAGACAATCTACAGTAATGCACAGGTACGGTAATCCGAGAGACCGAGAGAGGGAGAGAGAGAGAGAGAGAGAGAAAGAGAGAGAGAGAGAGAGAGAGAAAGAGAGGTAATAACAGAACGCGAGAGAACGCTAGAGAAAGGCAGAGAGAGAACGAGGGAAAGGGAGAGAGAGAGAGAGAGAGAGAGAGAGAGAGAGAGAGAGAAGGGCAACGGAACTTTGAGTACAAGCAAAAATTTGTAATTTCAGGGCGACGTGGGCCAATTTGCACTCGATGGCGTCCCGTCGACAATGTATATTTCTGATAAAGGTTTGTTATTGCAAAAAATCTTGAAAAGGTATCGAAAATATCGAAATGTTTGATCTTCAGAACTCAAAAATACCGATTTAAAATTCAATGGTCTCAAAGAGTAAAGGTTTTGCGACTGTAACTCTTTTTCCAAATCTTCAAAATTTGCTATATTCAAAATTCAGGCTGGGAATTCTACTTCAACTTCCACCACAGCGCCGCCGACTACTCGGACAAGGTCTCCGCCGAGGACATTGATCATACGGCTGCCATTTTTGCCGTGTTGGCCCACGTTATCGGGAATATGAGGGAATGGGTACGGTAGAATCCGGTTTACGGTTTACTGTACCACTTTAAACATACTTTTGTTCTTATCTTAATTTGTATTAAACCTGTGATCGTGCTTTCCCTGTACTTCCTTTAATTTTTGTGAAAATGCCTTTCATCCCGTGTTTCCGCTCCATTCCGCACCTGCACTCTAGTCACACGCCCAGCTTTCCACTCTGTATTTATTTGCCGCTTTGCATATATGCGTCTATTAGTGTGCAATTGAGAATTGTGTACGTATCGGGTTCTTAAATTGATACTTTGTTTGCATCATGGTTCTTTTAATTTCAACGTGATACTTTTAGTGGCTTGCTATACTTACGCAAGCTAAATAAAGTGTATCTATGTCCAGCAAATTGTCCAGCCCAAAACAATCGACCCCTTCTAGTGGTCCGGTGAAAGGGCGGATCGAGAGGATTTTTACACCATTCTAAAGCCCTTGAAACGGCGAGAAAACAAGTGCTTTTCGTTTTACAAAATTCCTAGCCCGCGTTCGGTATTCAACGAATTCTTAAAAAGCGTAAATCTGCCGGTCCTCGCCCCGATATCCATTCGCCGTGGACTCGCAAGCCATAGCAATTGACCGGCTCGGTTACGTCAGGCCACAGCGCCCCCGCCGCGTCCACCGAATGCACCTCGAAAATCTACGGGCAACCCCGATCGCCTCTTTTGCCGTTGCAAGACATAACAGAGCTGATGGTCATTTCTCAAGGCACAGCGAGCGACCATCCGGGTTCTAAAAATCGCGTTCACGAGGTATCTTAAAAATCGGATCCCATCGGTGAAAAATTGCATCAGAAAGGCGGTGATCGGGGCGCTGGCTTTTTGGAGTTAGCCTCGAACTCTATAGGACTGATTTGGAGCGTTCAACCGGCCCGGTTGCAACTTCGATGGTTCCTATGAAATCACGAAAATCCGGACGATAAAATGCCTAGAAACTGAGGCATGGTCGAGGAAATGGCTCGAGTAGTAAAGTAGTCCGGTGGGCATTATTTTGAAAATTATGTCTCTTTTAAAAAGCTCGTGGAGGTTAGAAAACTAAAGAAGAAAGAAAAAAACCAAAAAAAAACCTGCAAAAGGCGCAAAAACGAGTCAGTTCTCTCTCTCTCTCTCTCTCTCTCTCTCTCTCTCTTTTTTTCCCTCTCCTTCCCTTTCTCTCATTCTCTCTCACTCTCTCGGTGTCTCTCTCTGTCTCTCTCACTCTCTCACACTTTCTCTCTCGCGCTCTCTCGCTCTCTCCCTCTCTCTCTTTTTCACGCTCTCTCTAACTTCATAACCGCCTTACAGCTCGAGGTATTCCCTGTAGCCCCTCATTTCCCAAATCGAAATTTTCTTTTCCGGTATGACCAACCCCCGCCCCGTTATCTCCCCGATTTTTTCTGACCCGAATCTCAGCCTGTTTAGGGCCCATATTATGGGAGACTCGAAGATTTCCTCGACAACGGCCTGGGTACAATGTGGAGTGACCGGTTGGGGTTATCAGCAGCCATTTTCCGGGGGCATCGCGTGAAAATTGACACCTTGAGGGTTTTTTTGAAAGGCGAAAAATAGATTTTGTTCTCGTAAAACCGCCATTATCAGGTTTAATGGGGCTTGGAAGGCAAAATTTTTCAAAACTGGTGGTGGCAAATCTCTTGATCGAAATCCCGTTGTCTAAAATCGAATTGAAGGCAGAAATAAAGCGTTTTTGTAGACTTCACGACCCCTTGAGAGGGCGTAAGCTATTATTATCTACGGTATTACGCTTTTTAAATGATAGTTGAGCTGCCAGTTAATATAACTTTCCACCCCCAGTGTTCCCCAGCCCCGACCGCCCGATGGCTCCACGTGGGGGAGTCCTCTGCATCACTGCGCCCTGTCTATTTGCCTGATCTCTCGCCGTCTCGGTCCGTTCGATCGACCAGAGCAGCCGTTTTTTTTTCGGCGGCCGACCAACAACAACTCCGATGCGGGGGACGCGGCTCCACAGTTCGGCAAACAGCAGCGATTTCATTGAATTGGGGTTCAGGGCGAAACTTGATGTCGCGATGGGTACTGTCATTGGGGTTGGCTGTACTTTAAATGCACGGGGAAGCCAGGATCAGGCAAAATTGCTTGCTCTACGCATTAATGATCAAACACTGTTTTTGGGCGCGAGGGACTCAAAATTTCTGTCGGTTTAGCGTAACTCGCATAGCTCTCCAAAAAGTCGGTCTATGAGAATATTTCTAGAGTTTTGCACGACCTGAAATCAACTATAAGAATTCAGTAGTGGTCTCGGTCCGTCCGTCTGTCAGAAGCCAACTATAACCCGAGGGGGGAAGGAGCTAGAACTTAGGTCTCTTCGAATTCGGATAGCGCGCGGTCAGAAAACCCCAAACCGATCAAAAAATATGTAAAAGTTTTCGTTTAAATTATTAGATTTAACTTTGAAAGTGACGCCTTAAAGGGGTCCGAATCTGGTCCACGGCCCCTGCTGTGATTCCTGGCAAATAGCCAGATGCCGCCGCAACGCGACCGCGCCGCATGATCTGTTGCTCCTCTTTCGACTCGCAAACGCTTGAATTTAAAAATTCTGATACTATTTTCGGAATTCAACGAATTTCCATCATTCCAAACATTTAAATGATGAAAATTGACCAAAGAATCACCGAGATCGAGAGATTGGGTGCCTTACAAGGCATTACGACATGTAATCGCCGCGCACTCAATATGTCGTTTTCGCCCCAAAAAGAATTCGGTTTTCTCAAACATTTTACGTTTTTTCGCAATAAAATCGTTTTCTTAGCACTTCTCGGCAGTGGCCCTTTCGTTTTTTGACCCGTAGGTTCAATCCCCGCACGCACGAATTTTGACTTCTGAGCGCCTTTAATAACACGAGTGGGAGCAGACTTTTGCATGATTCTGGACATAGTGAGCCAGGTAGCGCGCGTTTCTAGGCGATGGGCAGAGAGCGGGGGGAGGGTAGCCCGAAGTCCAGCTCAACCCAAGCTGATATAGTGACAATCAGCCGGAAAGAATCTGTGAAATATAACTGCGAACGCTCATGGATTTCCTGCTAATTTCCCACCACCCGGCCATATTAAAGGGACCGGTAAGTCTTGCATACCAGTTTTTCCGTGGTCGTTTTTGCATAAAATACGCTCGCACCGGTTTCATGTGGATGGGGATTTCAATAAATCCCCTAAAACGCAAATTTAGGGTTTGAGATCTCCACTTTTCAAATTTAAGGCATTCGGCGGTTCGTTTGAAGTGTTGGCCTTCCGGGCCGCTGTAACATTCACATCCGTTTTTCTTCTTCTGCCCACCACTCTCCGACCACAACATTAAATTCCCACTTGCTAATGCAGTGCGATCAGGCGATGCTGCCTGTTTCCAGGAAAACTTCGGCCAGGGTTCCGGGGCCGAATTTTTGTCGGCCGGCGAACCCACTGTGACCGGACCGGAGCAGGGGAAAACAATGGACTGCCCGGGTGTAAGGATACGGTATCTCTCTCTTCCCTGATCCTAATTGACAGCAGGGGGTGCTTGCTGCGACGGTGAGGTGCATTTTTACGATTTCGTCGCCGTGGGGATCAGCCCATCAGGCTGATTGTGGGTTGGGGGAACACCCCCCACGTGGGGGCAACGAACAAATGGTATTGATCGGTTTAAAGGGACTGGCAAGGCAATAGATAAGCAAATTTTTCAGGAAGCTACAAATAGGGCTCCTCCTGAAATCCTGCTCACCTTAAGGAAATTTTTTAGAATTAATTTTTTTTAGATTTTTTGGTTACGATTCAAGTTTTCGCGCGGCCCTGTTTTGTGAAGAATTCTGCGCTGCATCCAAATCTGCCTTCAAGACATTCCAAACGACCAGCTTCAAAAAGTTATGGAGGTTTTAAGTGCGAAAAATAATCAGAATGGCCTAATTTCGGCAATTTTTTTCCTGTTTCGGGTTAAAACGGGTTATAACTTTTGAATCTGGCTTTCGTCTAGCAGATCTGGGATCAGCGCGAAATTCTGCACAAAATAGGCCCGTGCGGAAACTCGTTTGTCACTAAATAACTCGCCTTCAACACGAGCTTCCTCAAGCCATTTCCAATTCCCTTAAAAACCCCCTGAACCCCCAGAAAATCTTGGAACCTTCCTGATAGCCGTCATGGCAGTTTCCTTTTAATCGTCTACCCCCAGCGAAGTACATTTCTTTCCATCCCATCAACAGTCTTATCAACCAACCAGTCTAGGGGCCGCCGGTGGGCGCGCGTCAACAACTTGATGCCTGTTTCTTCTCTCGTGCCCCCTCCCGAATTTGCAACTGCGATTACGGGCTGTAAATAGGCGTTCACCGGGGATGGTGTTGTTTACCGACGTGTGAATTTGGGGGATATCTGGTTTCCGGGATCAGGTGGAGACGGTTTTAAAGGGATGGTACTCGGATTGAGAGAGAGAACGAGAGAATGAGAATGAGGAAGAGGGAGAGACGAGACGGAGAGAACCTGACTGGTTGTGAGACAGAGCAAGTGGGAGAGCAGAGAGAGTTATGAGAGAGAAGAGAGAGAGAGAGAGAGAGGAGAGAGAGAGAGAGAGAGAGGGGGAGCAAGAGAAAGATAGCTTGCCATAAATATTTTTCTGTAGTCATTAACTTGCATACTGAAACGATACCTACCACAGGCCACACATTTTGCACTGGAGCCGGGACAATTAGGTCCACCGACAACAGCGCAACAACCCAGCGGCAGGACACCAATCTGTGATCGGGAGTCGACGCCGGCCAAAATCGTAAACACCCGCTAGCCCCTCGAGCCACCAACAGATCGTCTGTTCTGCGGACAGCGGCGGACAAAACCAGACACATCACATTGTTTGCTGGCGGGCTGGGTAGTGGCGCTGGCAGTCCGCAGCTCTTGTTGGTGCTGCTGCAGAAGAGACCGTCGAGATTGATTGTTTTTGCGGGAAAGTAGAATTTGTGTTTTGCTAGGTTTTGGATGTTGCGCGAGTTGTGTCATTAATGCGCCTTATTGTGCTCTCGCTCTCTCTCTCTCTCTCTCTCTCTCTCTCTCTCGCTCTCTCTCTCCGATTTTGTTACTTTTTTGTCATTCTAAGCAACGGAAAATGACCCCCAACGTCATTCCACGTCAATTCCCAACCCCCGCTTTCCAGTAGTTCATTTTGTGTATATTTCCGTGTCTGTGTCTCTGTCCGTCTCAGCCCATTGCGACGAGATGAAGCAGCCAGCCGGCCTAGCCATCCCCCGCTCTAGCCGCCCCCCCCCACAGGGGAAAAGCGGCGTACTCCGCAAATCGATCTGATCGCACCCAGCACACCCCGCTCGAACCTATTCGTTTTTGCCCGTTGTGCTTCGGAAAAACGGCGTCGCTTAGCGATGAAACATTAACTTCTGGCGCTCTCATTTCTTTGCCACCTTGCCACCTGTTGAATGACAATAAGTTTCTTGAAGTTTTACACCTGCAATTAAATTTTTCTCTACGGTCCACAGTCGCCCTAGCCCACTGTAACTTCCGCTATGTCTTAATGCCCAAAATTCCGTTTATTTCCTCTTTACACCCGATCATCGTCGCCAATAATTGACCGGCCAGATCAACATCGGAGAGCACATCCTGTTGACGTCAGCCACCGGTCATTTTGTGTGGCCTATCCCCCGAGATGCTGGGAGGTTGGATATGTTTTTCTCTGCAGTCCCGCTTGCTCTCTGCCTCTCTCTCTCTCTCTCTCTCTCTCTCTCTCTCTCTCTTATACTTTTTCTCTTCTGCCATACACCCGAACACGCCCATTCCACCCCACGTGGGAGTCTGAACCCCTCATATCTTTCGCTTCAACCCCAAAAAGTGTTCGGTGCTCTTTCTCTCTCGCTCGCTCTCTCACAATCTCCCTCTCTCTCTCCTCAAGCTCCGCCCCATTGGGGACAACCCTCTTCTTTTCCTTCTGGGCCGGCTTCGCATTGCCACCCGGGACATCATCACCGCTCTGAAAGGTGTCAGCTGATCCCATCCGTCGTTCCGTCCACCCCACCCCACGTGGGGGCATACCCTGGGTGCGGGAACTTTTTGGAACTTGCGCGAAGATTTTGAGCCTGATATTTGGGATTTTAGTTCAGTCGGAAAAGTTTAGAACTTTTTGCTGTGGCTACGGTACCTTCTGGGCTACGGTTGCTGCTGTTGCTTCAGCTTTTTATTGCCTTAAGCCTACGCGCAAGCATAGGCCTCATCCTAAGCTTAAGCCCAAGCCTTATCCTAAGCCTAAGCCTCGACGGAACCTTGTTGAAGGCATTGCCCACTTCCACTCCCGTAATCAGGAGATCCTAGCCTAAACTCCGACCCCACCTTCCTTCCAGGATGATTTCCCCGAAAGAGGATACTGTAGATCGCGTAGTTCAACATGCAAGAAATGTAGGCTGCTGACTACGGTATCCTACTATAAAATACAGTACCCATTCCACCTCAGTCCTATTTACAACCCCTCCCAAACAAACAGAAAACCTTCTCGGCAATGCAATATTCACATCAGAGGACCTGAGTACGTGCATCTATTTTCACTTTTTTTCGGCTTTTGCATGTTAGTGTAGTGTGCATACTGTACTGGTGTACTGTAGCCTACCGTAGTTTTGTATAGCCTACTATAGCCAACTGTAATTTGCAGCATAGATCCTGTCTTATCAACATTGTAGTATCATTCGTGGCGGGGGATTTCCCGCACTTTAGAAAAAAGAGGAAAAGGGCAGTTTTTAAGGCGTATCCCATCATGCCATAGTGTAAATTGGAAAGTAAAGGAATTCGGTGAGTTTAGGGTCAAAATTTGCTGGGAATTTTTGTGGCTGCTTGCTTTCTCAACAAAGTGGAAGTCAAGGCAAGCCTAGGCCTAAGCCTAAGCCGGAGCTACCGAAGCCTAAATTACTAATATTTGCCGGTCCGCTATCATTCCTTTCTCAAATGATCACTGCTCGCCCGCTTCATAACCTTCGCTTCGTTTCCTTGGTGCTTCCTTTTTGGGGGCTCAATTTCAGCTCAACCCTTCCCACTCAGCGTGATCTTCTGACGTCACAAGAGCGCTGTCCGACCACCCTCGTACCCGGGGGCTACGCACTTTGCCCCCCAGCACCAATTGTTGTGCCCTTTAAAGATCGCCAATCTCTCTCGCTCTCTCTCTCTCCCTCGCCTGATATTGTCTATTTGTCCCCCCCAGACCCCCTGGGTTGATTCTCAAAGATCGCTCGGATCTGCGAGGCTGATGGGAGGGTCCGGCTAGACTGTCTGTCGCCTATATAAGGGTAGTCTAGGGTCATTTTGCATACCGTAATCGGGGTAGTGTCTCGTAGTCTTGTATCAGGAGTCCTAGGCAAGACAACGATGGAGTTAATTTCCCGGCATAACCGATTCCGTTTGATATTTTTTGGAAAATTCCGTGCTAGCACCTTTTTCATTGCGTAATTGGTTTGGTAAAATTATAAATACCATTTAATTGCGTAATCGATTGCATCGAGCTTGTGTAAATTTTCAGTCAGAATTTTTGTAACGTTTTCTAATCATATTAAAGGTATCCGAAAGCGTAAAATCTCGTCTTTTGATTTTTATTTACAGTTTTACTTAATTCTATCATATATTTGTTCCTATTTTTGCGTTTTTTTGGCTATATGGTACCTTCGAAATCACAGTAAATAATAACTTTACGCTCCCACGATCATAGCCTTCGAGCGAACACCCCGCATCTCTCCCCCCTTCACTCACCCAATCATCCGGTCCCCTTGGCTCCAATTGTCGGAACAAAAGTGTTTTTCCTGTTTCTTCCCACCCACCAATTTCCACCGTATCATCCGTTTCCCCGCGTCCAATCACTCCGACAATTTTCCTGGCCACCCTCCCCGCTGTTCAAAATGTCGAGTCTAAATTGTTTTCCTTGAAAACCTAAAAGTACATTTCCCTTTAATACCTTCATTTCCAGAGAGGAAAGCTGTGCTTCCACCACCCCTCCACTTCCAAGATGATGTTCGACCTTGATGAGGAGATTGACCCGTTGGAAACGCCGGTCAAGGCGCCGAACCCCTTCAGGTAGTGTTGATTTTCAAGCCGACTTACGCGGAGGCTTGGAAGCTGGGCTTAGGCTTATGCTTAGGCTTGGGCTTAAGCTTATGCTTAGGCTTATGCTTAGGCTTGGGCTTAGGCTTATGCTTAGGCTTATGCTTAGGCTTGGGCTTAGGCTTATGCTTAGGCTTATGCTTAGGCTTGGGCTTAGGCTTAGGCTTGGCTAAGGCTTAGGTTGAGCTTGAGCTTAGGCTTATGCTTAGGCTTAGGCTTAGGGCATAGGCTTCTGAACTTTTTTCATCCAAATTTTCCAGGTTCTCCCCCGACCTGATCGAGCGCCACGAGCGGTACCTGGCCTCGACCGACAACTTTGAGCACAATGAGTCGCCGACCACGTTTCAGGTTTGTATTTTAAAGTTTAGCAATTGGCAACTGTTTATGGGTTCCATTTTCGAATCGCAAAACAAATAAACCTCGATAGATCGAGCTCTAAATTTAGTTTTGAACATTTTGCGTTTCTTTCTCTCTCTCTTCCTTTTCTGGAGGTGATCTCATCAATTTCCGATCAATTTTTGCGTCCACCGAACCCGGGGGTTTCCCCGGCGCCTCGTTTCGAAACGGGGCCAACTGGTCAGGCCACCCCGGCTCGTCTCTCTCTCTCTCTCTCTCTCTCTCTCTCTCTCTCTCTCTCTCTCTCTCTCTCTCTCTCTCCCGGGATCTATCGGTCGAAAAGTCTCCCCAGCGGTGGACACGGGGGGTTTCCCCGAACTTTTGATCTCAACCCGCTGTTATCTCAGAAAATTGCGGGGGCTCCAAAATTCGGCGAAAGTTTTCATCGATCGCAGGATGGTGCAAAAAAATATAATTCATAACTTTCAGAAATCCCTGGTCTTGAGCGCCACCTCAACGCTCGAGGTGCAGATCACCGACTCCGATGAGGACGAGTCGCCGAATGCTGAGGCTCAACGAAAGCTGTGCCTGTGCGCCTCCCTCAACCCAGAATTCGTAAGCGAGTGTGGCCCACGGGGCTCACAGCCGGTCTCTGCCTTCAGAGCCAAGAGGCCGGACAGCGACTGCGGAAGGGGTCGTACATCTCGTTCCCCTACCACACACATCAGATAACCGACGACTACAAGGTGTCCGCTGAGGTATGCAGATTTTAAGGCTAATGGGGAGAGCGAGAGATTGAGAACGGAGGGTGAGAGATTGGGAACGGAGGGTGAGAGATAGAGAGAGACAGATAGAAAAAGAGAGAGCGAGAGATAGAGAGAGAGAGGTGGTTTGCCGGAAACGGGCCAGCAGAAATCCTCAGGAATAATACTTTTCCCGTCTTACTGTAGAAATTCAAAATCTACCATCGTATTCCATTACTATTAAAATCAACGTTTTCCAGATCATCGGCATCGGCGAGTCGGGCAAAGTGATGGCCTGCTACAACCTCGTCGACGGCACCAAGTACGCCCTGAAGGTCCTTCGCGACTCCCCGAAGGCGAGGCGCGAGGTGGAGCTGCACTATTTGACGTCGTACGTTTGCGCTTGTAGATATATCCTGTAAATTGGAGCATTTCGTAAGTTTTGATTTTCAGAAGCCACGAAAACGTCGTCACGATCCATGACATCTACGAGAACACGTTCGATGGGTTGAAATGTTTGCTGATCGTCATCGAGTTCTTGGAAGGAGGAGATTTGCTGTCACAATTCGAAGGCCAGGGGAGCAAGCCGTATTCGGAGAAGAGTGAGTTTTAGAAAAGCTTTTTTCTACTCTTCGCTTTCCCTCACTCTCACTCTCTCTCTCTCTCTCTCTCTCTCTCTCTCTCTCTCTCTCTTTCTCTCTCTCTTTCTCTCTCTCTTTCTCTCTCTCTTTCTCTCTCTCTTTCTCTCTTTCTCTCTCACCATCTCTCTCCTAATAACCCAAAAAACATGTCCCCATTATCAAATTATCTACCGTTTTCCGCTCTTGTTTACCGAGTCCCTCAGCCTTCAGGCCAAATTTCCGGACTTTGCCCCCTAACGGCCTCGTGGGTTACACTGCTACAGGGTGCGGAGAAAGTTTTCGGCGGGGCAAATAACTCTGTTACTCGAAACCTAGAGGTTTATTCAGATTTTTTGGATTCGAGGCTGGAAAGTGAAGACTCATGGATCATAAGTCACGACTGGATTACCCAAATTCAAAGATTTTACCCGATTAGAACGACCGAAAAGATCATCTTAGAAACGCCCCCGGCACGCTGTTGTTTCGTTGATGTTACAGTACCCCCTGCGAGCTATCCTTGGTCAAAAGGCACAAAATTTTGTAGAGATGTTGCCAAACCTGTGGTCTATCTTCCCACAAAACCTCAAGAAATTTTGCTTCAATTCGAAAGAGTTATGACGCTTCTAATTTTGGTGAATTTTTGGTCGAGACGGGAAATCTCCTGCCAGTAATCACAAAATCCGAAGAGAACGGCCTTGCTAATGGGATTTAGCGTACTGATATTCTTAACCGACACCCCTTAAATTAAAAAAGAAAAACGATGCTTGATACCAACGCTGGAAACAGCTTTTAGACGGTGCTGAACATTCTAAAGCCTTGGCACGCTGCCGCCTTGCAGCCAAAACCCTGAGAATTCAGCCATGTCTGTTGACAAAGCAATAATATTGATATGGAATAATGCTAAGGGTTGTTCTTTATAATCCGTAAACTCGGAAGCCTGGTAGTCTGCCACGGGAAAATTTTAACCGCGCTTTCTATATCGGCCAAATGGTGGCCAATTTCGAAACTCGCCTGCGCATCGGTGTTCCGAGCTCGGTTATTTTAGCTGAGCACTTATTAAAAAATCTTTGGCTCATGAAATTGGATGAGAATTGTCCCAATCTATCATGACACCACAAAAATGTAGTCGAAACGCTCATCTTGACAAATCTTTTTGATAAAAGGTGCGCCGCCGAAAACTTTTTCCGCACCCTGTATTAGGGACGCCACGGAGTTGCCAAGTCCCAGCCAGAAAAAAAGAACGTCTGGGATGGGGGCACCAAGAAGATAAGCCCATTGTTCCAAGACTTTAGAGCCGGTGGCTGAACTCGGAAGGTTGATAAAGAGGGTAAACGAGGAACCTGAACGCTAAAAATAGCTCGGAAAATCCGAGAGAGAGAGAGCAAGAGGGAGAGAGAGAGAGAGAGAGAGAGAGAGAGAGAGAGAGAGACGAAAACTTTGAACTCCCAGGTGTTGATGTTGTTGGGGGACAAAGTCCAAAATCTCGGGACTAGCAATAAGAGTCAGAGGGGGGAAGCCTGATAAATATGAGACACCTGTCCCCGTGGCTGGAGCCGCGTAAATAATATTACGAGATGTGGCAGCTTTGACCGCTCAAACTAAGAAAAAATGGCTTGTTGAGCTCAAGCTCAGACTTGGATTTGAAGCAGCAAAAACTTGGGCTCAGAATCAGATAAAATTGAAGGAGAACGAGAAAAGAAAGAGAACAGGAACAGAAATAATTCTAAAAATTGTTCCAGAAATCGCCGAAATCCTCCGTCAAATCGGCAGCGCCGTCCAGTTCCTCCACGACATGAACATTGCGCATCGGGACATTAAGCTGGAGAACATTTTGTGCAGGTTGGCCAGCATTTTTTATAGACTAACAAGAGATTGTAAATTAGTTACGCATAAAATTTAAATCAAACTAAATTTCTGTATGAATCACGCCACTTAATTCCGTTTTTTCAGCTCAACCGGCCCGGATTGCGTCTACAAACTCGGTGACTACTGGTTCGCCAAGCGGCCGGAACGTAATGTCCTGATGGAGTCGCCGTGCTGTACGCCGTATTATGCGTAGGTTCCTTTACTTTATTAAGATTATACCTAGCATACGTTTCTAAAGAACGTAATCATTACAATCATTTAACAAAACTTAAAAACTGTTAAACAACGTTTTTTTCAGTCCCTCCCGAAGTGCTCGGACGGGAGCGGTACGACAAGTCGTGCGACATGTGGTCTCTTGGTGTTGCTATGTACATATTGTAGGGTCCATTCAAACCTTAAATTTGGTATTAGGTATTAGGTATTGAAGTTCATTATTGACACATTTAAGTAATAGATAAATTAGATTAAAATAATAGATTTAAATACCCGTTTCCAGGCTCTGCGGTGCACCTCCATTCTATTCCATGGCGGACTGGCGTTGTCGCCCGGAATGAGGTCCCGAATTGCCAATGGCTACTACGCATTCCCGCATGAAGGAATGGGACCCGGTTTCGGAATCGAGTAAGCTAGAGAAGAGAGAGAGAGAGAGAGAGAGCACAAGCTTGCGAGAGAAGAGGTCTATTAAAAGACACCATTTTTCCGAAGCCAAATCCATCGTCCGAACGCTCCTCAAGACTAATCCCGCCGAACGTCTCACCATCCACCAGCTGATGAGGAGCACGCTGGTGAGCAGCGACTCCGAGCGGACCACCCCGATACCGATTCGAGGCTCTGAGGTTTTGTAGATCTCTCTACCGCTCTCTCTCTCTCTCTCTCTCTCTCTCTCTCTCTCTCTCTTCATTAATCCAACCTTCTTCCAGGACGATTCTCCTCCAGCGACTCGTACGCCATGAAGAGGAAGACTTTGACGTCACCTCAAACATCCCCGACGTGCCGCGCTCGGTCCGTTCCCTGCGCGACGGCGTCAAGGCGCCACGACTTCTTGTATCCAGGTAAGAGGCTAAAAACTGAAGCCCATCTAGGCCTTTCCGACCTCCTAAACCACCGATCTTTCAGGGAGAAGTCGGACGACCCTGGATGCGATCCGCCTCCGTTGGAGACCTCGTCGTGCATTAGACCCCCAAAGCTCCGTGTACCTCTCCTGCTTTGTGGGAGGCGCTCCAGCAATCTATTCCACAAGTCAGTTTTGGCTTAGGGGACTTTTAAACTTAGGATTTAAGCCCGGGTATTCATGTCTAAGTCCAGGCTAGCTCAAGTAAACTCTGCAGCGTAGACGTAGCCTGCGACAACTATTACGACTTTATTTTTGGGCACGAAGTAATACTTTCAAAAGCTAATTATCCGGCTAAAATTCGTTAAATCAAAAACAAAAATAAAAACAACCGATTTACATCCGTCACTTTTCAGGTGCAACTCAACTACTGAAGCATACAACTCTACGGTTCATCCCCTAACTCAGCGATTACGAGGAGACATTTCTGCCCTTTTTCGAGTGTCAACCTTCTAGTTCATTGATTGTCATGGTCAAATTAC